ACCCAGGAGTTTACCGCTTCTGCTCATGGAAGTTCCCACTGGTGACTGACCCAAGGTGAGCTTAGCAGTAAGATGGCAGAATGGGGATCTGAATTTGGGTATTCCAGAACCAAGTCCAACCTTAACTAATATACTGCACTGGCTCTTGTACATGGGTTTTGTTACAACAACCCTGTAAGGTTGGCTGATATGACTACACCCAACAGTAAAGCAGGAGTTTCATTGCAGTCATGATAGTAACAGAGCCGGTCCAACCACTTACAATGAACTCCCTGTGCATGCAGAAAGATTTGACTGTGAGTTAAATGAAAGAACACACACACACACAGTTTGGGGAGAACCGAATACCACATTTCTACACACGAGGTGCTGACAATGAACATAAGAAGAGAACTGCTGTATCAGAGCCATAGAATATCTTGTCTCACACAGCAGCCAATCAGTTCTCCTGGAGGGAGAACACACAGGTCATAGAGACCAAAACCTTCCCCTGATGTTGCCTCCTAGCAGTGGTAGTCCTACTGCCTCTGAATATAAAGGTTTCCTTTACTCATCATGGCTAGCAGCCATTGATGGACATCATGAATCTGTCTAATCCCCCTTTTAAGCCATTTTCATCAAGATATCCACTACAGATCCAAGATCTGGGATTGTACTAGATGACCCCGGAGGTCCCTTCCAACTCTATGCTGCGTTCAGGGGCACAAAATCGGTTAGCCCTGCCAGGCTCTAGGGATGTCAGACTGGCGGGAACCAGGGCCAGGGCTTTCTCGGTGGTGGCTCCATCCTGGTGGAACGAGCTCCCGGTAGAGATCAGGGCCCTGTGGGACCTTTTGCAGTTCCGCAGGGCCTGTAAGACGGAGCTCTTCCACCAGGCATTCGAGTAAGGAGCCACAGTGCACACCGGGGAATGTCCCTGTGCCCTGGCTTTCCAGCCTGAAACCTGGGTCCTACCATCGAAATCCTGACCTGTGCTCACCGCATAATAAATGCAATATATGGGACATCTAACAGTCACCTAAACCATGTTTATAAGAGCTACTCCGCTTGTTGCTTGGGTGTGTTCCAGCATTTTATGTATCTGTTTTTAATTGACTGTTATCTTAATGTAAATTATAAGTTTATAGTAGGTTTTATTGTATTTTACTGTATCTAACTGTATTTTTGAATTGCTTGTAAGCCGCCCTGAGCCCGCCTCGGCAGGGAGGGTGGGATATAAATCAAATCAATCAAATCAAATCTCT